TTATTCAGCATTTCCTTTGTGTATTTACATTGTAAATTCTTCACGGCAAGGTTCACATTTTCATTTGTACAAATATAGCATAGGATCTTTGAGTATGTATGGCTCAGATCTTATATAAATAAATGATTTTTGGTTATTCTAATGCTCCCTTTTCTATGAAAAATGTGCAGGTGGATGAATTAATATTTTATTTTCTGAGAGTTTAGGCCATTTTCTGAAGAAAAAAATTATATGATACAATAGCAAATAATTGGAAGATACCTCAGTGATGATATTTTGTTTTAAGGCTCCTAATGAAAACCAGTTAAGACTTTAAGAACTCTATGACTGTAAATACAGCCAAGTCCAGCATTTAAGCTGATATTTCTTAAATTGCCAGTTTAAAATACATATTTAGCATAGGATCGTTTGTAACAAACAACTTTTTGATAACTCGTCATTGCTTGAACAAGAAATAAGAACTGTTGATTAAAAATTGAAGGACATTATGGCTGGAGATTTTTTATTATTATTTTTGCAATAATATTTTTTAAAACCTCTGCAGAATAAGTATGTCTGTTGCTTAATGCTATAATTTATTTTATTTTATATCCTATGAAAAAAGAGAACATTTTATAAATTCTTGAGTTATTTCAATTGAAATTGGGTTTAATTTTCATAGGAGCAAGATCTCTGTGAAATATAAAATACTTGGTAAATGGCAAAACATGCCCCAAAATTGAATAAATATTTAATTAGCCTTTGGAAACTGTTCTTCTGATAACATCTCTGTGTTACATTGTTTGGAAGATAAATGTTGAGCTTTCCTGTTTGATTAATTTGACCAAGATTTTCAATTTACTCAAATTGTGAACTTTAAATATTTAGAGTTTAGAGGAAGCTTGATTGTAGACCAGTGGGATGATAATCTGAAGCAGTAGCTCTTTCTGAAATGGCATGTGTTTACTGGTACTTTGTGGAAGAAAAGAAAAAACAGACTTATGGAATTACCTTTTCTCTCCCTAACCACCCCCCACCCCACCCATCAGATCAGTCTTAAAGGTTGGTTTGTTTTTTTATTCAGAACAGTGAGGAGACAAAAGATAAGAAACCAAGGAGTCTGTCTTGCATAGTTGACATGTATGGATTGTAATTGGAACAGCAAATACAAAGATAATAACAGTAATGTGTCTAATAATTATTGATGAATTAGAGAACAAGGATGAATGAAGTACTTCAGAAAAGTAAGTGATTCTGTCAGTAATGCTGATTTTTTTTCCCATAGTCTTTTCCGTGCTGACTCCTTTACATAACTCGGTTATCAGCCAGTGCTGAACTGAAGCATTTCTCAGAATACTTCAGGAAAAGTCAGTGATTGTTGTCCATGACAAGAGAGGTGGAAAAAGGGGAGCATTGAAAGAAGAGGCCTGACTTCCTTTAATAAGGAAGAAACTTGGTTTTCTTGTTGATTTCATTAAGCTTTGGCTTCCATTATAAGGCCCAGACCAGGTGCTTCCTATTGCCATTGGCACTGAATTCCAGTTACAGACCTTGGTCTGAGGAAATTATCCGAGACCTCAGTGAATCAGAGACAAATAAGCATATCTCAAAAGGTATTGAGTTTGCCAACACATGTCAGAATAAAAGGAAAGAACTGTGCAAATTCTGTCTCTCTTGTGTCCTGTCAGCTTGATTTATCTATGTCTAGATGTAGGTTTCCATGAGCTACAGTCCAGACCTGCTATTAACAGTGTGTTGCGTGGGGCATAGACTCGTAAATGAGTTGACAGAGAGAACTAAGGTGTTACCTGGCATTGTGATACTTGCTTAGGCATGATAATTGCTAATCTACACAGTTGTATACTGTCCTTAATACAGAAGAGTTCCTTTTTTGGCTGAATCAGCAAATTATTGTCAAAGGATGTTGTAAAAGTAAACATACTGCCTTCTGTTCAACCTCTGCCTCAGTGAAAGTTTCTGTTCTCTATTTGTTGTTTGGTGGCTCTTTTTAAGCTCTCCTAAGCATGAAGCTCAATGGTCTCCTGTGGGTGGCTATTTGTTACTTCTGCCCCCAACTGCTGCTCCACAAATTCTGGAGCAGCTGCAGGTAACCTTCAAAATACATCACATCTGTCCTTCGACAGTCTTGTTGGAGAGTATATCCAAAAAACTACCAATGAAGGGATTGGTACATTTGTTTGTGCAACATTAATTTATGATTGTTTTGCTTATGCAAATGGAAACATTATAATAATATGATCTGGCACCATCTTTTTCTGTAGAACCCTTGCCTCATGCAGTGAGTGGCGCTGTGGGAAAGAATGGCCTTGCCAGTAGTTCTTGTTTGTGCTTATCGTTTCCTCTGCTGTCTCTGCTGCCTGTCTGTTTTTTACTGAGTAGTTTCCAAAATTGAATGTAGAGCTGTTGAATTTCCAGTGGTCTTTCCATACAATTCCTTTATAACAAAGTGAGGGAATGTGGATAAAAAATAGTGCTAGTAAGAGTAATATAAAGGAGAATTAAGTGAGCTGGCCAAGCTGAAAGAGGCGGAACTTCTGTGAAATAACGTAAAGATTAGTCAGCCTTCATAGAAGTAGATCACAAGGTTGGAAACCAGCTTGCTGTGTTTGCTTTTTGCTTTGACTCTTGTACCTACATCTGTTCTGGTTGATAGATTTATGACTTTTCATAATGTGTAAGCAGATTACTTTCATGATGTGCACTCATGCTATTTCTCATTTTGCTCTCTTTATTAAAACAGCTGGATATTAATTTAGGTCCTAAGTCATACACAGAGTTGCTTGGAGTTTTTTATTACGAGTTAGTCTCTTTGTGATCCCTTTGGAGCATCATTCGTGTCACAAACTGGTAGCCATCATTCTTGCTGCTTTGTAATTTGCACAGGGAAAAAATTTTTTTTTTCCCTTTTCATACCAGAACTCTGTTATGTTACTTATTTGCTGTTCTCTACTAGGTGAGGCTGGACAATATTAAACTGGTATAATTTATCTGTTTTGCCACTTTTTGCTTCTCCATGTGTTTTGGATTAGAATGGATGAGTGCTTTTATGTGTGTATATAGAAAAAGGGATGAAAGTTATGTTAGCTGGTTAGTACCTGTTTGAAAGGAGGAAGGCATTAGTGCTCTTTTTTTGAAGCAGTAATAATCATTATACTTTATATAATAATAACAACAGTAATAAAATAGGAGCAATATTGTTATACATTATGTGAAATTGTGACTGGGTCAAATGGTGCCTTTATTTTAAGGTCTTGGTTATCTCCTCTCAACTATTAGTATCACCTCTTACACTGGTAGTGTTTTCTTTCAGTAGTTTACTTCAGGAGTGTGTCTGCTTTTGTTTGAAGGTACGCAATCCATAGCAGAGAGACTTTAACAGTTACTGGTCATTGGCAAGAATAGTGTGGTTTTGTAAGTAAGCCATTTCTCTGAATTTGTACAGCTTTCTAGTATTTTAAATATCATCTTACTGTAGAAGGCAGTTGCTGCCTCAGAGTTCTGCGAGGGTTTACACATTCTTCAAGCTTTTTGTCATTCTGGCAGTTGGAATGGGGCTGCATGCGTTTGCACCTTCCTCAACAAAAAGGAAGTGCTAACCTGATCTGTTGAGGCTCCGTCTAAGCAGACATGGAGAGGTGATTCTGCTCTCTTCTGGGGAATCCGGTTTGAAATCCGCAGAACTCATGGGCAGGACATCTGTCACCTTCCTGTCCTGGAGATGTGGGGCATAGCCAAGGGGCAGGAAGGGAGATTGTTCTTCTTGGCAGAGCAAGCTGGAGATTGGCTTGACCTGTCTCATCAAATTGCACTCTAAGTTAGGTGCTCTGAACCCCTTCTGGAAGAGCCTACTTAGTCTGAGTTATGCTGGAAGCTTAAGGAGGCTGTCCATCTAAATCATGTACCTAAAGTTAGACCCAGTAAGTACTCCTCACTGACAGTCAAATCCTGCCTGCCTTTTTTTTTTTTCCTTTAAACTGGTACAGACATTTTAAAGCCACAGTTTATGTAGTTGAGCGGCGTGAATGTTGGACTGCAACTTAATATTCATTGTGAATTTGAACATCAGTATAATGTTGTTAAAATATCTAAAATACTCTTTTTCTTTCATATGAGAGGGTGTCTTTTTTCAAGAATTAGTGGCTTTTCAGTGTTGCTCTTTAGTTCCAAATTTTTGGAAGCAAAAACACACTCTGGGAATTTACTTACAAATCTCCTGAGGTAATCTTCTATGGGTTTGCTGGATTTTCTTTTTTTGCAAATAGTATATTAAAGCTTATATAAATATACTTTTCTCTTATAAAATGCTGTTTGACCTTCAGGGTAACAAGTAATTTGGTAAACATGTTATAACTTGGTCTTTTATTCCAGGTATAAACACTACATGTAAACTGTATTTAAAATGTTTCAAAACCACTTTTTTAAGAGTTGTTAACTGTTTGTGGTTTTCTACATATGCATTTTAGAGGTGTGTTAATTCATGGCTTCTCATTTGCCACCTCATTTACTATTTCAGTTAAGCCACTGATAATAGACCAGTTATAAATTGGGTTATTTGATTTCAGCCTTGCATTAATAATGGTCTTTTTGCTTTGATCATTTTTTAAATAAGATTTAATAATTTTAAAATTTTAAATTGTGTTTACATTGCTATGGTTGTAAATCCTATGTAGGTTTAATAACATTGCCCTCTTTTGGAGGGGACATCAGCATCATGTGACATTGCCTCTGTGAGTTAAAACTCAGCTCTTGTTACATTCGGCACTATGATTGTTTGGTGCTGGGTCTGTGGATGAATGAATTTTGTGGCAATTGTGAAGACAAGTCTGCAAGTGATTTAGTGGTTAAACTGGGCTTCAGAGAAACTTCTGACAGTGTATACTGTTACCTGTGATACACTGTGTATAGCATATATGTAGCAAATGATGTATCTATGTATTTACAGTTCTGATGACCCCATTTAATCATTGCTCTAATTCCTATGATGGATTATATCTTCACAGGCACAGTTAGTTGATCTGAAGTCTGAACTGACAGAAACACAGGCAGAGAAAGCAGTATTGGAAAAGGAAGTGCATGATCAGCTTTTGCAACTCCATGCTGTTCAACTTAAGATGCATGCCAAAACTGGTCAGAGTGTTGATTCTGGGGCTATTAAGGCAAAACTGGTGAGTATGGTGGCTTGAACTGAGGATGGTGTTACACTTTTCCCTGTCCTGGCTGAAATCCTTTCTTGGAAGGTGCAAATAAGCAGGTTACAAATCTTCACATTAAAAATGTTAGACTTGCCTTTTTTGGTTTGAAGTAACATTTATAGCTGGTTGTTAGTAGCCATTAAAAATAACATAACATCAAAATAATGATAAGAATTTAAGAAGTTGTTTTTACATAAACTATTTTCTAGTGATTTCTTTAAGATAAGAAAATATTTTGGTGTTTTATAAAGCTTTTATGGAGACAGAAGTTGTAAAAGATAGTAACTTTCAATATACAAATGCAACCAAATATTCACATATCTCAAAAACCCGGAAGTGAGGTAAGTTTTGTTTTTCTTGTAGTTACACTCTTGATAAGAGTAAGAATGGGATTGTTTTGCCATACAGACAGAGGGTAGATGACATCACAGTCCTCTCTATTGTCATTCTTTGAGAATGCTGCAGATGCATCTGTGGTGCTTTCCATCGCTACATGCAGCACTGTGATAAAAGAACTCAGTAAACCACTGATAATTTTGTACAATATGGTTTTTAGAAACTTAAACCTTTACAAAGTCCACCAGAAGTTAATAATCATTCTGTGCAGTTAGTTGTCATGACTGATAACCAGAGTGTAGTCTGCCTCATTTCTGTCCACAGCACAGATTCAAGCTCTAATATTACCAAGATTTTGTAAATAAGGGAAGTAAAATAATGTTGTATAGATTGTGGTTTCTAACTGTTGGCATAAATCAAAGTCTAGCTCTCTGGCTGTTTTTAGGATTGCCTCGCAGGTTGGTTGCAAGTGCCTAGTCCCAACATATGTGGAACGTTAGATTAGTCTCCTCTGCTCTTTCGTATTGTTAATGAATGTATAATAAAACCCAATGTTAGATTATAAGGCTACTCGCTTAATAACAGGAGTAGTGCAAATTCTTCCTGTTTCAGATCCAAAAGCTATGTTCCTCAGTGTACATCCTTGCTTATTCAGTATAAAAGTAACGTTTGCTGGATTTTCTGCACATAAGTTATTCTCTCTTGAACTACAGTTTAAGCATGATGAAGTTTCTTTAGAACTGTTAATAATATTTATGGCTCTGTAAATCACCTTTAGTTAAAGGTCACCAACATTTTCTAAGTTTCAGGCTACAGGTTTATATGTAGCAAGTTTTTTAAGCTGACGCATCACTGTCAGTGGTTTTAGTCCCTAAATGTTGTTAGCGAGGCTTAATTTATAAATGACAGAGAGTAATACTCTTAACCTTTTCACTTCTCTTTGCATTGTTATAAACTATTTCTAAAGATATATTAAATGTCCATGCTATTGACAGCAGTCTTTTTCCCAATAAATACATTTTAATTGCATTGTTTCAGATTTTATCTGTGTTGCAGTTGAATTTTATTAACAGCCTAGAATGATACTCTCTCCTTTATTCCATGTAATTCCTCCTTTTTTATAAACATCAGGGCTAATCTTTTGAATTTGCTTTACTTTGCCTTTAGGGGTTTCATGGTTTTAATGGAGAAAAGCTCAGGTTTAAACTGTTCTAGATATAGAAAACTATAAAGGTCTGGGAAGCTTGAACAAGCAAAATTGAGGCTGCTTAAATGACAATAAAATGGGAAGTTTGAAGTTTAGGTAAATAAAAACTTTCATGCTGACCTTCTGGCAGTCAGAAAGCCTCTGAGGGCAAATAAGAATTATGTCAACAGAATATGCAATGGGGAAATAAAGTTCTGTACTAGTTAACTTCCTGCTATGTTAAAGACAACCACTCTTCTTGTATATGGAAGCTTCTAGCATGAATGTATACTCTGCAAACTGTAAAATGTACATAGTGGTGAGCAAAGACATATTTAAATGTTTCGGGTTGCTATACAGTTGATAACATCATGTAGCTGAGGCCAAATCCCCGTTTAGGAGTGTTTAGTCCAAGCACAATAACTCTTTCATTGTAAGACTACGAAGTTGCATAGTTGAAATTTTTTTCTTGAGTTTTTTTGATGACATGTCTTTGTTGCTACTTCTTCCTGTCCTTTATGTCCCTTTTAGAATATGTATTTTGTTATTCTTTCTGAAAGGAAAAAAATCAATTATCTGTATAACATGTTATGTTAAAGAATGTATTTTCTATGATATCAAAACTGCTTTCATGCATTTTGCATTAACTTGCTATTCTTTATAAAACTTCTTGGTATTTTAGGAGAAAGTATTGTTTTGGATACTACAATAAGGTTAAAATTTTTAATAAGATTTTTAGTAACTTTATCTGCAAAATACCAGAATTCTGCTAAGTCTGATTATAGCAATGTGCTTGTTCTTTATGCCTTCTAATAAAATAAAAAATCTGCTGGTAGATTTCTTTTGGAGAAAGTAATTTATGTTTCATTTGCTTGAAGTTCCTATTGCGTGTTTCTCTAATTATGGAACTCTTTTTTTCTGTCTTAAGTCTGTCCTTTCTGTGGATGAAATGGTAAGTATGCTGATTGCCTTTTTTTTTTTTTTTTATGTTTTAAGCAGTCCTTTTGTTTTGTGCAACAACTTCTAATATATATGTTGGCCTCAGAAACTGGCAAAACAGATCTGACTTGTTCCTTCTTCCTGTCAGTTGGCAAGATGCCATGTAAAGAATTTACTTTGCATTTTTAGTTTTTCTTTTCTAGTTTTGGTGTCCTCTTTCTTAAGTCTGTGTTTTATTTATTATTGTAACAACTAATTTGAGATGATATTTGGCAACTTGTTATTCTGAAAGACTGCTCTGGCAGTATCTGAAAAATATTAAGGTGTTTTACAATTTCTAAAGCATAAACGCTGTACATATCTATCAATGTAATATGGGGTATTCTATGTGTTGTATTTAAAAACCTTCCTGTCAGCCTTTTCTTGTTTTCCCTTTTCTCAGTTCTTCTTATGAGCATGATTTAATACAATTTACTGGCTTGTGTAACAGCCCAAAGCATATAAACACAGTAATATATAGATAAGAAGAAAAAGTGAAGCAGAGTTAACTTTTATCTTTCAGTCTTCCGTGGTGACAGACTTGAAAGCTTTCCAAACAGCTTTTCCACTCCACTTTTATTATGTTATATACCTCATTATCATTAGTCAGTATTTGCTCATTGAAAAGCCATGGGATAGCTGGTAACTGTAAGCTTTGATCTTCAACATTGCAGTTGCATTTTTGGTTTAGTAGTTGGGGGTTGTTTCGTGTTTTTTTTAATATTACCAATGGAAAACATATTTCTATTTTGCAGAACCTGTGCAGTGCTGTGAACACTGGAAAGCATAAAATTATTCTGTAACTTCCTGAAGTTTTTAAACATTTTTAAGACTTTTGTCACATCTCATGATAGTTGTTCAAAACAAGATGTGTTCTTTCAGTACATCTTCAGAGATTCTGTACTGCAGACCTCTTGATTTTTTTTAATTTGTCTTTTGAATTCTGGGTGTAATTTTCCACCTCGGTCACAGAACAATAGTCATAGTAATTGAGAAAATAAGAAGAAAGCAATTATATGGGATTATGTTGTTCCTTATATTTTAAGTATAACGTTCGAAATACATAACTAAAAATGAGTCCACTTAGAAATGTAACATTTGACTTTTGATTTAATTTAAATTACAAACAAAATTCAGAGAAAATCAATGGGAAATTTCAGCTTGCTTGAAGTGTGGTATTAATGTTGGGGTTTTACACTGGATTTTTGGGGGTGTTGTGTGGGTTTTGTTTTTCTTGGTTTTTTGGGTTTTTGTTTCTTAACAGCAATTTTGCACTGATTTTTCATTTAATTAAGTTTGTTAGGATGGGAATCTTCATGTGTAGAATCTCTGGCTTTCTTTTTCTGATATTCAGACTAATTTGCAAATGTCCCTGGCTGGACGCTTCTTGGTTGTTTCCATGAAAATAATTGTAATTTTAAAGACACATGGACTTACAGAGCATTTCCTTCATATCATAGCAAAATCTTATTGAAGTAGTTAAAGAATATTGTCAAATTGAGATATTTAGTGGTTGTGTAGTTACTTCTTTTATTTTAAAAATAGTCTTTCTTTATATGAATCTCCCATTTCAACACAGGAGAAAGTAAAGATGGTGTTTAGGCTACTTAAATTTTGTCACCTTTGTGTGACAGGGAGAAACATTGTTGCTACTTTTCATACTTGGACTTTGAACCACTACATGCTTTTTCTGCTAAGGAGTTGTAAGCTGGATAAAAATCATGTCAGGAGCACAAAGTTGAATGCAAGGCCATCTCTCCCTGGAGGGAAGTTTGCAAACCACTAGCTGCAATGCCAGAGTTGCTGCTTGCATTTTTTTCCTGCGTGCATGTCCTGTACGCAGGAGAATGTGTGTGCAGAAACAGTGAGTGTTCTCTCATTATTAAATTTGATGAAAGCTTTTAAATTATTTTTTTTCCTTTTTTTTTTTTTTTTTTTTTTTTTTTTTTGAAGGAGAGAGAACTTGAAGCCAACAAGAAAGAAAAAGTAAAAGAAGCTCAGCTGGAAGCCGAAGTGAAGTTGCTGAGGAAGGAAAATGAAGCACTTCGTAGACACATAGCTGTGCTTCAGGCTGAGGTTTATGGAGCAAGATTGGCAGCCAAGTATTTAGATAAGGAACTAGCTGGAAGGTATGTGAAGTCAATCCATGTCCCTTTGCATGAGATTTTTTTGTTGTCGTTTTCTTCCTTTGCATTGCCAAAGGCATGTCCAGGGTTAAGACCAAGTAGGAAAGTCTCATGTTTGCAGTTAATTGAACAAGAGGAAGAAACAGAAATCCCCACTGGTCTTGCGCTTGCACTAGTTGCTGCGTGACTCTCTGCTGTAGCCAGATGAAGTTTGAGAGTTGTACAATGCATTACTTTTTCAGTTGTAATATAGCTTGTTGTTTTCTCTTCATTATGTAGGGTCCAGCAGATTCAGTTACTGGGCCGAGATATGAAAGGACCTGCTCATGACAAGCTCTGGAATCAGCTTGAAGCAGAAATACACCTTCATCGGCACAAAACTGTTATTAGAGCTTGTCGAGGTCGGAATGATCTAAAACGACCAATGCAAGCACCACCAGGACATGTAAGTTGAAATGATGAGCCATTCCTTCATGATTTCTAGCATCTGTGGAAAATGAGAGTTATTTTTTCATTTTTGTGTTTATTCTTACTTCAATATTTTGTTCTTTCAAATGTCATTTTGGAATGTATAGTTCTATTGTATACTGAAGTGTTATGGTGACATGCTAAATAGCATGTCTCCATAAATGACCACGAAAGATGATACAATTCCTTTGACTTACCTAGGAACACTCAGTCCTTCTGAAAACTGAGCCTCTGCTATGTGTGTGTTTAACTGTGAATGTAACAGCATAATTTTGTTACCTAGGTTTCAAAATGTGGAGCTAAGTTATTTACAAAAACTAAGAATAACATCTTTAGGATTAGATTGAACTGAAATTAATTTTTTAAAAGGTTTTAAAGGCCACATAAATGTCATTCTGTAAAATAATCAGGTTTTTTTTTTCCCCTTCCAAAAGGTACTTTATAATAAAACCTTTAAAAGGCATTTCACTGTGGGTAGCCTCAGTAGAAGTCACCCAGTTTGGCACATACCCTGTTAATTACCTCAGTGTTCAGTTCATAAAACCAGACATTTTCAGAGAAGTGCTTTACTTTGATTTTTTTCTAAATACCTTAGTCAGATGGATCTTCCTGCTAATGTTGCTGATTGCATATAAAATATTGGTGGACAGACATGTATGTGTGATTCGAAGGGTATGCATAGTGGCTTAACAAAATAAATACCTTGATTTATTTAGTCTCTCTTCTAGTTTTGAGTTGAATGGGTTTTGGTATGGTTCATAATAATAAAAATAAACTTGAACAAGCAACCTCTTTACTGGGGCTCTATTGCATCATCTTCTATCATTTGGCTAGTTTTAAATGGCAGTTTACATTGCAGCTTTTCAGCAGTGATCAGCATTCCTTTACGTAGTCCCTTTATATTTTTAATATATGGCTGATTGCATTCTTTTGAAGTTAAGTTCTGTATTGTGCATCACTCAACACTGAAATAATTGAAATAATTATTATGATCAGGAGTGCATAGTGAGGAGTCTTTTCTGATTTCATATCCTGTCTGTAAAAGGGGTACTCTGTAAGTTTGTCCTGCCTGGATCTAGTCTAAAACTCTGTGGCTGATACACTGTCTGTTTATAATTTAAAAAATCAAAATGCAGAAATGAACTTTTTGGTTCACATGTTTATATTTCTGCTATGCTTGTTTTTTGTCAAACTAGGATCCTGATGCCTTAAAGAAGAGTCAAGGTGTTGGTCCAATCAGGAAGGTTTTGCTAGTTAAAGAAGACCATGAAGGACTAGGAATTTCTATCACAGTAAATACTTGATTTTTTTTTTTTTTTTTTTTGTGACACAGAAGCAGCAATTTAAATTTGTATTTGTACTGCTGTAAAATACTGTAGATCAGTGAATGTATTGTTAGAACATATGAAAAAAAGCTTATGCAAATCCATAGCTATGGTGATAGAACTTGCAGACTCATTTTGGTAGATCACGAAATAGGTAACTGATATTTTATGTAAAACTTCTGATTTCAACTTATGTTTAGGATATAGACACTTTAGCAAATTAGCCAGTGGTGAGTTTCAGGTGTGGTAAGTCAGTAGAAGAGCAGGAACAATCGGAGAATTAACTTCCAAATTTTGATAATTCTGACTATGATGCTGTTACTCTAAATATGAATATTGTTTCTTGCAAGTAAATATGGTGCCCGATATGCTTTTTAAATGAGGTTATGATATTGTCTCATCAGCTTGTGTATGATTTGATGCATTTATTATTTTTCTCAATTGTCTCTTTTGACTCTTTATTTGAAATTTGTCCATTCTTTTGTGGGAAGAAGAATTAAGGGAAGCATTCTCTTTGTCTGATGCATGCTTTCTAATTTTCTATAATAAAAGTTGAAATAAGCACTTTAAGAGCAATTACCAGAATGTTGATTTTATGCTAATGGATATCTCGGTTAATTAAAACCTACTTTTTTTTTCTTCATCCCCCGCCACCCCAATAGGGTGGTAAGGAACATGGTGTTCCAATACTGATCTCGGAAATCCATCCTGGACAACCTGCTGATCGATGTGGAGGACTGCACGTTGGTGATGCTATTCTGGCAGTAAATGGAGTTAATCTAAGAGATGCCAAACATAAAGAAGCTGTAACTATTCTTTCCCAACAGGTCAGTTGAGACTCGTTATCCATAGACACATTTAGGTGCTTCCTGTGTTCTATTGTATTACTTTGAACTTTAATGCTTTCTGATAAGCATAGTGTTATGCTAAGTTGCAGTGATTCCTGGAGCTGCATCACCTTACTCTTATGTCTTGCAATTTGAGGAGAAAAATGCTGGGTCAGTACTGGTCTGATGATTCTTCAGTAAGGCTGATGGAAATCAGCTTGCTACATTGCTCCACAGAAATAGTTAGTAATAAATGTTTTATTCTTTTATGACTAGATAGCTCCAGCCAAACAATGTGTTTCACATGTTTTGTGGTGTAGAATCTTCTTCCTGCCTTCCTTCCCATTTTCAGACAGTTAACAGGTGCCAAACAGTTAGTTATCAGAAAACTTACTCATTAGAAGTCACTGTTTGAAATGTATTGGTACATAACTAAGAAATTCAGGTAACTTTGGTAAATATTAGCTATAGAGCTGTTCTTCTTAAGTCAGTAAAAACTTAATTCAGATACGTATCCAGAATAATCAACACAACTGTAACTGTCTTTACAACAGTGAAATGTATTAGTTTTAGTAACCTAGCTCATCTCAGTAATGCTATTATGTAGCTATTATGTAGTAAGTAAATCTGTAATTTTTGTTGTATTTTAGAGAGGCGAGATTGAATTTGAAGTAGTGTATGTTGCTCCAGAAGTTGATTCAGATGATGAAAATGTAGAATATGAAGATGAGAGTGGACACCGTTACCGTTTATATCTTGATGAATTGGAAGAAGGCGCGCATCCAAGTTCTAATAGGAAAGATGCAAATGTGGATGTCAAACCCTCACAAGGTAAACCTTCTAAAATCCATTGCATGCAGTTTAATTCTGAAGTCTCAATATTCATTGTAAAATTAATCTGCTGTTAATTCAATTAACCTACTCGTAGGGTGTCAGCTCTTTTAGATGGTCCCTCATTTATTGGCATGGTTTACTTAGACATAACTGAACTAACTAACTTAACTGAATTAATTTGTGTGGGGTTTTTTCTTGATCGCTTTTTCCCAAAGGTTGCATTTCAAATCTATTCTTATCTTTTCCTGACTTTGATCTAGGAATAGTTAGTTTCCCAACACTTTCTGCTGTTGGCTTCTTCAAGTACATCTTTTAGATCAGAGAAGTATAGAAACAATTCCTGTTTTCCTGTCATACTGTGTTCTGCTAAAAACCTATTAGTTCTTATTTTAGTAGTCATTTCAGCACACTTTCCAGTTTCTGAAATAAGGCTCACTGATAATTCACTCCCAAGATTGCTTCTCTTCCTTAAATAAAGTTTCTTTTTAAATTGCAGTGTTTGATAAGAAGCCAAGTATTGATGGACATGAAAATGGAGACCTGGGAAATTCAGTTGGAGCTCCATTAGAAGACACTGCACCCAAGTTAGCCTGTTCTGCTGAGTCTTTATCCTAAAAACAAACAGACAAAAAAAATCAACTGGACAGATCCCATCTTTGGGAACAATTGATAATCAATATTGACTGCTCCAAGATGCATATACTAGTGTAGGTTGTAAAAGGATGATTAAATGTCAAAAGGAACTGTATTACTGTTGCCTGGAAAAAAGGCAGTTACCTCAGGGCTTCATTGTGAGCAATTCTAAATGTGGAAAACTGTCTTTTGCGTGACACACAGTAGTTACCTAACACATGGCATGTGAAATGAATTTTCTTTTAACAATAAGCACCAAAGCATGGGATTTCTAAAAAGGGTAACCTCAATACATTCAACTTTTAATCTCATTAATGTCCCCAGGGAAGTAGAATAAGATGTGGCCAGCTCCATTTTGACCCTTTGGTCCTTTAAAGGGACAGTTGATGTTCAGTTTGGTGTGAAACAAGCTTTAACTGTAGAAGGATGGAGGGAGAAGTGTACCATTGCATCGATGAATACTGTACTTAGGATTTTTAAACTTAACTTTTAAAAGTAAGATATTTTTTTTTTTTTTTTTAATTTTTTTTCCTCAGAACAGTAAAAACCAGAGCTTTTACTTGAGCAAAGACCATCAAAACCCAAATGGGACAGTGGAGTACCTGCTGATCATCATCCTTCAGCCCACGATCATTTTATGAGTGAGATTTTTGGCATTGTTTTAATGAATTTACTGCCAGTTGTTCCATTTGAAACTTGCTCTGAAAGCATTTAAAGAGAATATTATGGGATTTTAAAAGCAAAATTTGTTTTGAGATGCTCACAATTATGTGGGCCCTTTTGGTATTTTTTTTATTTTTTTTTTTCTGAGCATCATCAATTTAGCATTCATTAGCATACCAAAATATGGTTACTGCTAATGCAGAGTGGTTTGAGTTGGTCATCGTTAGCCTGACCTTATGACATGCTGAGTGCTTTTGATGGGTACTGAACATACTCATTTCACATTAAAATAATCTTTAAAGAACTGAAAGTTGAGTGCACAGTACTTTACAGGAGGTGCTCAGAATCAATTGGTGTCTGGCCCTATCTGTGTTACGTTACAGCAGTCATATTAACCTATAATTGTCTTACTGTTGAAACAAAGTGTGACTTCTTTTGTAAGAGCAGTGTATCTTAAAATAGCTTTTAATCGGTGTACATCTAAAGGCCCTCAGCGTGGCTGCAAATGAGAATGCTGAGGATGGTTTGGTTGACCAGTTTCTCATACTCCATTTGTAGATCTTTTGGTGAAGTGCAGCACTCTCTATGTGCAAGATCTGCATTGTAATCACATTTATTATTTCAGCATGCAGTGCCAGCTCTCCTGTTCGCTATTCTGCAGGCTGTTGAACTGCGATGTGAAAAGATAAGATTTTGTGCATTGAGAGAGGAACTAATGTGAAAAGACATCTTTGTAAGTGTTACTGTGTAGGATGTACACACATAAGAAGAAAACCTCAGAGGCCTTTAGAGTAACATCAACTAATCTTATGTTCTAAATTGTGATGTAGAACACAGTTACTTATCTCTCCTAGGAGCACTATATATATGTTTATAGAAAAAGCTGAAAAAAAAATGTATATACTTTATTCAAAGATTTTGCTATTTATAAATCCCTTAACTTTGCTATTTACATGATCGTTTTGTGTGTATGTGTGCGCGCATGAATTCCACTTACTCAGTGGAATAACATTATTTGGTTCATTTTTTATAATAGTCTATGTCATACAGCATACTGTTGAAGGTTTTTAAAATAGTCAAAGCTGTACAGTTTTCACCAAATAGAAACTAGTATTTAAAAATAAAGCTGTGTGAAGAAGAAACAAGTCCTCAGGCATGTTTCTTTTTCTGAAGCTTCAGAAACTTGAGGACACATTGGCTGAGTGTTAGCAGTTGAATCCACTGCCATAGCTCTGCATCCAGATTTGTGTTTTTCCCACAGTTACTCAAGCAGAGTGCACTCTGAAACTGTGTGTGCCATGGAACACTCAGTGTCCTCTCTGTCAGAAAGGGTAGTTCAAAGCCAAGTAGTCTTGTCTTTGAAAGTCACGGCTGTATGAAATCTTCCTGCAGCTGTAAGAAATGAGACTTGTCCAACTAGTCTGGCACTAAATTTGCCTGTACAGTTTCCCTTTATTTGAGGGAAAGGTGAAATTTTTAATTTATTGGTTCTACCTTTCTTTTTGGCACACCTTATTTTCCACTTAATACTTTTAATCAGTTTTAGCCTGAAGTGGGAGAATGTTTCTAGAGTTATTTTTGTAACATTCCTTGTCCATCAGTTTCTCATCATGCTATGCTCTTTTCTTCATTTTATGAAAGTTACTGGACCCTGTCTCTGCTCTTACCTTGCCTATATTTAACCTATATATGAGATCAACAGAAGGAACACTTGCTGAGGAGAATGACTAGGAGTAGATAAATCAGGTAGCAGTAAATTATCACCAGATCTCCTTCCCTGCAGTTTTTATAACCTTTGTTTAGAAAGCCCTTAATGGGAGGATTTTGTTCAGACACTACAATCTGTCTCCATGAACTCCATGCTCTTACCAGATTTAAGATCCTGGTTTGTTGTAGACATACTGAGATGCTTAAAGATTACTATTTAAACTGAGAAAAGTTTTGCAAATTGGGATTTCTAGATTCAATAGACAAATGAGTATTTCCCCCTTTGTCAGTAACTGGAAGACTCAGGCCTGCTGATTCCCAGGGGTTGAATGAATTGGAGTTGGAAGAATTTCTGAGGAAAGTCAGTACTCAGACTTTGTTTTTATTTTTTGAAGTGTAAAACGGTTTACTTGTGTGTGTATATATATTTTTTACTTAAAATAATATTTCTAAGAGAATTTTGCAAATTCTTTGGGTTTTGTTGGTTTTTTTTTTTTAGTAGATAATTTCTTGCCTATTATAAAAATCTTCAGTAAGACGATTGTATTTTAAGCTAAAGGTGGACAGTGTTTGTTGGCATCTAGGACCAATGTTAATTAAAAGCATGTAAGTTAAGGAAAGTGCTTTATGGCAATAAATTTAACTCTGATCAAAGGCTGTATGTAGTATTTCCTTTGTAGAATTGTATTCTTGGCAGGGAAGAGGGTTTGTATCTGTCTCAATATATATATTAATCCACAGTTGTATCAAACAAAATTGAGGTATTTATTGTATCTGTCCAAACATTATTGCATCACAGATTACTCTTGTTTCTGTAGCAGTCAGAAAATTTTGCAACAAATGTATACATCTCGTTGAGCTGAATATAATATATTTTTTATTAGCCTGTAAATAAATATACTCTTCTTCATTGCAGAGATTTCTGCACCTAATTCAGACTGGTATTTAATTTTCTTCTGGTTTTATATATAAAATACAGATGCCCAGCCCTGTTTGTTTTCTGTAAAGCGTGTAGTCCACACCTGGCTAAAAAGCTAACAGGAGGGAAAACAGAAACTATGTAACATGAATTTTGACACTAATCCACTGTTGGTTGGCAATGGCTAATAGCAGATTAAGTTTTTGAAAAGATCAGGTTCTACGACATGTCCCAGTGAGATGCATTTTCTGATGGGTGTTTTTCAGTAAAAGAAAAAGAAGGAAGTATTTGCAATATCTGGCTGTATAATAATACCAGATATATTGTGAAACCTTTGGCTAAGAAGAGCTATAAAGACCCAGACCTGTCAAAGGCTTAAGTCTAGGTAAAATTGTGGAAACTGCCTTTTTTCCCCATCTTTTGTTTGTTTGTTTTCCGTGCATTAGGAATAATAAGTATATTCTGAATTTTCCAACTGAGTTACAAAAGCCCTTAACTTAGAATTTTTAGTCCTGATATTAAAGTCTTTTCATTCAGATTAAGTGTTTTATGTTTCAAATTACATTTTAAAAAACCCTAATCTCTCACCTACACTTGAGTGGTCATCTTGCCCTAAAGCATCAGGTTCATCTGGATGAATAGAGAGCTCAAATGAAAGGTAATGGTATGGTAACTGTGGTAGTAGTATAGTTATGGCAGTACTTAAGGGTTTATTGAGAATGTGTAAGTAGGAGTGTAAGGGTAGGGCTGTCTCAATAGACAAGGCTGATTCATGCCGGATGAAAAGATGTATGGTACACACTTGGTGAGGGCTAGAACTGCAAGTACTTATTTTTTAGCTCTAAAATTTTTAGAAGGGTTTAGACATGGGTGACTTCAGCAGATGGAAGGAAGAGGGAAAGGAGAGAAAACTTACACTTGAGCTGTCACAAAACAAGCAGAGGATTAGAGGCAGCTATGAATGAAGATGAAAATAGATGGAAAGAGGAGAAAAGAAAACATTTCTTTATGTCAGCTGGGGTCAAGGAAGGTAAGTCAAAATCTCTGTGTCCCAGTACCCAAATGAAGGACCTTGGTGGCTGCTCTCAGAGACCACGGCCACCGATAGTCAGTGCATTTTTTTCCATAATTTACACGTCATAGAAAAGAGGAACACATCCTTACCTAGGTTATGTGTAAGGAGTCCATTTTTGCTGGTTAAAACATCAGCTCAATGACGTGAAAAGAAAATTACCTAAAATATTTTGAGCTTGTCTTTTGTCCAGAGTGTGTCTTTTCCAATACAACGTGATTTCCAATTCTTCAGAAGTTTCACAGTTGGAAGGGAACCTGGGAGTTGAGAAGTGGCGAACTGACTTTGAAGAAAAATACTCAACTTCTTTAGTTATTCTTTTCTCAACAGGTCAGTTGTTGCTTCTCCTGTTTCAGAGTAGACTTGCCTTACCTGTGTTTGCCTGGTGTATCCCTGCCGCAGATGTACTTTGGTATCTGCTCCTGACACCTCACCTGTCCTGTGCAGGGGACAAATGGGGCTTCTGAGCTGAGTAAGGCCAAGTGGTATTTTTCAAGGGTTTTCCCTTTGTAGGGGAAAATCGAAGCTGCTTGAGTAAATTTTCCACACGCTTTACAAGTGTTAAGTTCTATCAGCCATCATAATTGTTTGGTGTCTTTGTCAGCCTCCTGCTCAGTGTGCCAGGACTTGTTTCTCCCACCTGTATGGAGGGGAAGCATTGGAGCTGCCAGTGTTTTGAAGGTTCTGCAGGAATGTGCTCTTCCAGTCCCCTGTGACAGGTATGTTAGAAGGGCATTGATCCCTGAATAAGGATCCTGGAAAACTGGTTAAAATTGTGCTGTTTTTTCTTTGTAACGTTCTACTGGAGGTAATGATCCTGTTTCCCTTGTTATGTTTTTTGCACTCTATTTCTGTAAATCTCCTTTTTGAAATGCAAAAGCACTGTTCCTCTGAGCTGCAGCCTGAGCCATTTCCCCAGCTTCCCTTCTGTCAGCTGTGGGACCACCAGCTCTCTGCTGCCTTTGCAATGCTGGGTCTCGAACAGGAGGTGAGGAAAATATAAAAACCAAGCAAAGTGAGAGTACAGGCATTCACAGGCATGTTTGGATTGCCTGTACTGCTGGAAGTCGGGGGTGCTTGGGAGGCATCTGGTAACTTCGGTTGAATTGCAAGTCT